TGTGTGGTGTGTGTGTGTGGTGTGTGTGTGTGTGTGTGTGTGTGTGTGTTGTGTGTGTGTTATGCCAGAATAAGCAAAAGCCCATGTGCCAGTGTGACAGAATATTGGGGGGAGGTGGCCAAGTATATGTAACGACAGTATATTGTGTGGGTACAAGGCTGCCAGGAAAAGTAAGAATTGAATGAAGAAAGAGAGGGGAAGTCAGACGTAATAAGCAAGATAGGCTCAAACACAACGTACACAGAAACATGTGGAACAACACAAACACACTAGGGAGTGCAGCAGGTCTCGGGGCTTGGTTAGGTAACTAATGGTCCGATGAGCTATCCTCCTGGAGGGAAATGGAAACTACCTTGCAAAATTAAAGTCATGCCAATCAGTGAAATCCAAGTCCCACACAATACACCATTGTTCGCTATTTGGCAGACAGCAAGGTTTTTGAAAAGAAAAGCAACCAACAAAGGACAAAATTGAAAGTGGTGGCTTATTTATATATTCTTCTTGAAAAAACAAATGATGTTGTCATTTTTTACCCACCTATTAAATGCTACCGGAAAACTTTAATAAGAGAAAGAAGGAAAAAATAGAAATCCCTTAAATCAACTTCCTTTTTGTAAGCCAGCAATGAATGTTGGCATGATGAAATTCTGATGCATAACTGCTCCCAATCTAAGGCTGCATTCTTATCTAAAATCAACATTAATGGCATAATGTTTATTAAATTGTTACTGTTATCGTAGATGGCTACAAGCTTCCTTTATGATGGATTAGATTATCCGAGCCTTAATCAACAATTCTTTTTGGACAGCAAGGCCTAATAAGAATCCCAAACTTTTTTCCCATGGTTCTTTAGAAAATAAAATATTTTATATACCAGTTGGATCATTTTTATTCAATCAATCTCATCTTAGAATTTACCTCCATAACCAGGCTCCCTGCCCTTTCAAAGTGACCTTGTTTTGGTTTTCCCACTTCGAAAAAAACTCAGTTTTTAAAACCTGTGGAAGCAAATCCAAACAGAATTTTGGTAGGTTGCCCCCTTGTTAACTGAAATTCTCATTTTGGACAAACTGCCTGTTTTCTGTTTGAAAGGGAATTTTTTCGCTTACCTACAGAAACTCAATCTTGGGATCTGACTTGGGAAAATCATTTTTTTGAAATTCCAAAGGGATTTCTTTGAAGACGGAATCCAAGGTCAGGTTAAGTTTTTCCATGAAAAATGGAATCCTTGGTTGGGGTTCCCTGGTTTTTATTGGGTGCTTTTATTGTATTTATTTGGGGTGGGTTTTTTCCCTGTTTATATTGTATATTGTTTTCCCAATCTGTTTATTTTGTTTTTTTGAGTTTTTTCCAAAGCAACAAATTTTTTATGGTGCCATAAATTTTATTTTTTTTGAGTTTTTTTTTGGTTGCTTTGGTACGCTTGTCTTTTTTTTGTTTTGTTATTCTTTGAGTGGTATTTGTTAAGGCCATATAAGCATGGGGCATTGGCAAATTAGCGGTTAGACTTTACATATTGTGGTTTGTTTTGGCATTTTGTTTTAATGTAATACTTAGTTAAATTAATTAAAAAAATACAGGAACATGAAAATGGAAAACATAAAAATTGTTTATGGTTCAATTGGTCGTCATTTTTTTTTTTGTTTTTTGTTAGGTGGGTTTTGCCCGATTCCTCAAAGGGGGCAGGTTTTGTTACGTAAATTTTATGAAGCTGCCTTAGGGGCAAGTTTAACAGATGGAAGGGGGCTTGAACCCAAGGAAGAAGCCAAGTTTCAGCTGACAAGTTGTCTTTTTATTAAAATAGAAAAGTGCTTCAAAAGGAGAATTTTTGAAAACCAAAGAGAAATTGGTTTTAATTTTTAAACTATTCTTTGTTGTACCCATTTCCAAATGGGTGGGGTGGCTTGTGAAGTCAGAACGTTTATTTACTACAAGAAGGCCCAAATGTTTCCCCATTCCCCTCAGTTTTGATTCCGTGGGTTGGTTGGGGGGGGAATATGCCTTGGCCATTTGGGAGGGGAGAATGTGCATTTTTTATTGGATTTTCACAAAAGAAAAAGGCAACAAATATTGTTTGTTTTGTTTTTTAATCACTTTAAAATGACTGAAATATAATGAAATAAGTTGCTTTTTTTTTTGTTCAGATATGGAAAACTGTTGGAGGGAAAACAAAAATTAATTTCTTTTGAGCCAATCACAAAGCAATGAAAATAACAGTAATTCCATTTCGTGTCAAAAAACAATGTTGCTTTGGGTTTAAGTTTTAAGCTTAGCCCAACGTTTGGCCCCCATGAAAACAAAATTTTTTGACATTTTTCAATTGATTTTACGTTTTGCCTTTTTTTCTCCATCAATCCCTTTCAGCAAGTTTGGTAAAAACATGTTTCCCCAAAGAATTTCTTTCTGAATTCCTGTTTGGTTGCAGTCACTGCAACAAAAAAACATGTCCCCCTCAAGATCTTTTTCTTGGAATCCCTTTGTTTTTTTGTGGCAGTTCCCACTGCACAACACTTTTTTGTTTGGTCATTTTAAGCTGTAAGGGCCCAATACAGTTGTTTTTTTTTTTTTTTTTCCATTGGTTGGAATTTGCACCACTGGAAGAAGCTGACTGGTTGCATGTTTTTTTTGCCACTGTTGGAGGGGAAGTTTTATGTGGCCATCAAAAGTTCAAAATCCTCCCATAAGTTGGCCCACAGCACAACTGGGTTTTGTATTTTATCCGCATAGGGAGTTTTTTTTTCTAAAAATACTGAACGAATTTAAATTACATATTTTAAGTTATAAACATGCCAGCTTTTCTTTAAGTGCACTTCAACCTATAGAAGTACCATCACAGAATTGAGTTTAGGGTATTTTAACTTGCTTTCTTATTACATTTTTTTCCATTTGTCAACAACAATTGTTTTTTAACAGTACAATTTAAATCCTTTAATTGTTTACATTCAGCGGTACACCCTTGCTCCTATCCCAGCCAATTGGAACTTCAATTAACCCATTTTTTATGCCTTTGTCCATTTGTAGCATGTGATTTGGGTTTATTACTTAGTACCAACAGTTTAAACATTTAATTTTTTTTTTTATTTTTTTTTGTTTTTTTTTTTTTTGGGTTATAAAAAGTTTCCTACCCAGTTAAGAGAGATGCGCTGCAGGCGGTCTCGGGCTGGTTAAGGGTAACTAATCGGATGCGATGACTATCCTCCTGGAGGGAGAAACTTGAAACACCTGCAAATTAAAGTCATGATATAGTGATCCAGTCCCACAAATATCACCACCGTCTGTTCGCGTAATATTGGCGACGACAGGTTTCTGAAAAGAAAAGCAAAAAAAAAAGACAAATTGAAATGGTGGCATTTTATAGTATTCTTTTGAAAAACAAATAATGTGTCATTTTTTAACCCCACTATTAATGCTACGGAACTTTAATAAGAGAAAGAGGAAAAATAGAATCCTTAAATCAATTCTTTTGTAATGCGCAGCATTGATGTGGCATGATGAATTGTGATGCATTACTCTCGCAATCTACAGCTGCATTCTTATCTAAAATCAACATTATGCATAAAATGTTATTAATGTTATACTGTTATGCGTAGATGCTACTCAAGCTCGTTTATGATATAGATTATCAGCTATCAACATTTTGGCAGCAAGTTAAGATCCAACTTTTTTCATGTCTTAAGAAATTAAATCATTTTATATATCAGTTTTGTCATTTTATTCATCAATCTCATCTAGAAATACATCCATAACAGGCTCCTGCCAGTCTCAGTGACCTTGTGGTTCCACTCAGAACTCAGTAACCTGTGAAGCATCCAACAGAAATTGTAGGGTGCCCTTACATAAATCCTCATTTGGACAAACTGCTTTTCTGTTTGAGGGAATTCCTTACCTACAGAACTCAATCTGGATCCTGACTGGGATCATTTTGAATTCAAAGGGATTCTGAAGACGAATCAGTCAGGTAGTCATGAATGATCTGGTGGGTCCTGTTTTATGGTGCTTTATTGTATTATTTGGTGTTCTGTATATTGTATTGTTTCATCTGTATTTGTTGTTGAGTTCAGCATTTTTAATGTGCATATTTATTGTTGAGTTTGTGCTTTGTACTGTCTCTTGTGTATTTCTTGAGTGTTATGTAAGGCCCATATAAGCATGGGCATTGCAAATTAGCTTAGACTATACATATTGTGGTGTTTGGCATTTGTTAATGCTACATACTAGTCCAAATAATTAAAAAATACAGCCAACATGACAAATGGAAACATAAAATTTTGTCATGGTCAATGGTCGTCATTTTTTTGTTTTAGGTTGGTTGCCATTCTCAAGGGGGCAGGTTTTACGTAATATGAGCCTGCCTTAGGGCAAGTACAGATGAGGGCTTGACAAGGAGAGCCAAGTTCAAGCTGACAAGTTTGTCTTTAAATTAAAAATAGAAAAGTAAAGCTCAGAGGAGAATTTGACAAGAGAATGGTTTTAAATTTAACTATTTGTTAATAACCATTCCATGGGTGTGCTGTGAGTCCAGACCGTTATAACCTTAAGCCCAATGTCCTCAGTTTGATTCTGGGTGTGGAAATATGCTGCATTTGGAGGGGAGAATGTGCATTTTATTGGATTTAACAAAAGAAAAAGGCATCAAATAATGTGTTTGCTTTTATCACTTAAAATGACTGATAAATAATGAATAAAGTGCTTTGTATAGATGGAACTGTGAGGAAAACAAATTAATTTCTTGGAAAAGCCATCACAATCAGCAATGATACATAATTCATTCAGAAAACCATGTGCTTGGTTAGTTAACCTTACACTGCCCCATAGAAATCAAAATTTTGAATTTTCATTGAATTTTACTTTGCTTTCTCATCATCCTTCAGCAGTTTGTAAAAACATGTCTCAGATCTTTCTGGATCTGTTTGTGCAGTCACTGCACAACAGCTTTTGTCATTTTAGCTGTAAAGCAATACAGTGTGTGTTTTTTTCCATGTGAATGCACCACTGGAAGAAGCTGACTGTTGCATGTTTGCCACTGTGGAGGGAGTTACTGTGGCATCACGTCCACATCCTCCATAAGTGACCCACAGCACAACTGTTTATTTTATCCATAGGAAGTTTTCTAAAATACTGACGAATTTAAATACATATTTTACAGTTATAAACATGCAGCTTTCTTTAGTGCACTTCAACTTATAGAGTACATCACAAGAATTGAAGTAGGGTATTACTTTGCTTTTCTTATACATTTTCCATTGTCACAACAATTGTTTACAGTACATATTTAATCTTAATTTAAACATTCAGCGGTAACACCCCATCCTCTCCAGCCCATGACTCAATACATGTTATATTGCTGTCAGCATTTTAGCATGTATGGGTTATACTAGTACACAACAGTACATTATTTTTTATTTTTTATTTTTTTTGGTTATAAAATTCCTACCAGTTACAGTATGTCTGCAATCACATTTCATGTGTGATAAAATGTGCCATAAATCAGCAGTATTAGTATGCAGCACGGGAGCGAATGCACTATTGGGTACAGGTTGTCAACTGACCTGTTGTTGAAAACAGACACCCAAATTATCAGAGAAAAGGTACAATGAGAATTATTTTTAGCAAAACAGAAGGGTAGTATATAGACGAATGTGGAGTGCAGGTAGCATGCCTTGTCACCACACATGCACTATCAATAAACCACTTAAGCTTTGCGGGAGCCATTCAGCCCTCCATTATCCTCTCAATCGTTCCAATATGATGTAACGACTGAGAGTGTAATTCTGTTCATGAGGCAGCAAAGAGCAAGTATAGGGGCATTAAGGCCAATATAAAGCACAGAGCATCTGTAAAAGGTTCACCCTGTCAACAAGATTAGCCTACACAACGCCATTTTTCAACTGCTGATGGAGAACATTAAACACTCACATTTGAGACAAAATTCAGAGTATTCCTTGACACAACTTCACTTATTTCTAATGCAAATTAACTTCTTTCAAGTAAAATTAAAATCAAATATCGATGCATCATAGGTATGTGTTCACATTGTTTTTATCTGGAGTGTTAAACTGCACAGACACAGGCAGTTATCAGGCAAGGGTTGCAGTGTCAAGAAGGTGCTGGCTTTTTAGCGCTGATGGTCCTGTACTTCAAAAAGCTTACCCAGGCTCCAGAGAGCAGGCACAGGCTGAGGCTGGCCACCCAGGGCAGGAGTGTGGCCAGACAAGGGCACACACCAACTACCTGCTAATTCCTTTCTTTCTTTCATTCTTTCCCTCTCTCCTTCTCTCTTGGTGCTCTATAGTCCACTGGGTCCCAGAGCGGAGCAGTTGAGGACAGATGGTTCAGCAGGACATGTTTTAGCCCGAGGCCAGAATAATGATGGAAACCAGACCAGATGCCTAGATGCCTGCAGCAGTCAGTCGCTGTTCTCTCTCACTTCCTGACAACATAAGGAAGCCATTGAGAAGCCCAGTGCACTCATTCCAGACAGATAAGTCTATTTGGTTTGGAGTGAAGACTCAATACAATACTTTTAGACTAAAACTGGATATGTACAGTTTTAGATTAAGGATTTGAATGCTGTTTTACAATCAATTCAGGTTAAGGGCATCCCATAACGACCCTGTATCAATGATGGGTTCAGACCAGGAGCCTCTAGAACCAGACGATCATTTTAACTGCAACATTCAACTATTACCATCCATACGGAAGCTGTAAATCAATAAAATGAAATCTAACAGCCTTTCAGCAGCCTAAATGCATGTGCTGCTCAAGGACGTTTGAGATTTTATGACCATGTGTGGTTATTTTATTGTCTGCAAGATATATCATAATCACCACTGCTCACCACAATTCAACAGCTTCCTTCCAGCCAACTATCAATGCACTTGGTGTACAATACAACAGGAAGTAAGTGACAATAGCTTGAAATATAGCAGATCAAAGGCAGCTATGCTGTCTGAGGAACAAGTCAAATGGCATCACCCCACTGGTGGGAGACTTGGTAATTTTAAGAGTTGTCAGATATTGTTTGCAGTATTCTGTGCAGACTGTGTGAGACATGACAACCTTGTAATGTCAAAAAAAATGGAGTTTTGAAGAACAACCATCAACTTAATATTGATTTCGGTTAATGTGACTTCACCCCCCCCATCCCAACCCACCCCCCACACAACACCCCCCACACCCACACACACACCCACACACACACCCACACACCTCTGCTGCACTGCTCATGCTGTCCAGGCCCTCGCTGGCTCGCACCAATAGCAAGTAGCGATGCTGGTCACTCTCGTAGTCGATAGGACGGGTCAGGCTGATTTCACCAGTCTCTGCTGAGATGGAGAAGAGACTGCTGGGATTGATGAGAAGGCTGTAGCTGATTGGTTTCTTCTGGAAGGACACAGCAGGTGTGACCAGGAAGCTGAGGAGACATGGAGGAAAAGTTATTAAAGTAAATCTGCAGCACAGGGTGGAGTGGAAGAGAGCAGAATATATACAGTACTGTAGGGCAGAGTTAAAGAAATATCTTCCAAACATTTCTGTGTGTTAGAGTGGTGTACAGAAGGCCTTTTCCACTACAGGAACTTGACAACCCTATGAACTGAACTGAAGAACCTGTGAGGCTTTCATTCTAGGTTCTGCTTCGGGTTTCCACTGTGCAAACAGTAACATTTTGGATACACACCTCTGAAGAAGTGACACTGCTTTATATATGGTATTAAACAGTTGACACAAAGAAAAACTGTCATTTTAAGTGCCACTAATGCTTTTCATGACTAAAATAATTACTTTTAAATGTAAATATCATTAAATTCATAGCAGGGCCTCTTATTTACAGTTTAGATGACATAAGTGATGAGGCATGAAAACAAAATGTTGCATTTTCTCACTATCACATTATCGACTGTATTAAAAAACCCACTTCCTTAGCAGTGTTTAGCTGAATACAATTTCTGCCTTATTATTGGCAGTGTTTGTTGTGTTAAAAATGAGCTGTTGGATTCCATGGCTCAAAGTATGCTTACCTGGAACATGGATTCAGTACCACATTCTGACTAGTGGCTGACAATGGTTACAGGTTAAATTCTGGGTTGTTTAGTTCCTGTGGTGAACAAAAACTGTGCCAAGCACAACAAACTAGAGTTGACTACAGAAGAGAAACACAGATGTCCTCTGTACTGTATATGCAGAGTAGACTGGCCCTCACAGATTAGAATGAAGTCGACTCAATTATAGTAGATAGTCGTGTAGCTTTGGGTACAGCAACATGGACTGGAATAGAGTAAAAAGGGGCAAAGTAAGGTACATATCTGTAGAGCAGAGTAAAAAGAATAAATGTGAAGACTAGAATTTAACAGAGCAAAGCCCATCATGATGTAGCAAATGTATGTGAAATGATATCCGAACTAATTAAACTGGTGTTGATTACAACTACCTACATTCCACTACATTACATTAGTATACACTTTTCACACGTCTAAAATGAAAAACCTTCGCTCATTTTTAGTTACTAGTTGTTTGGAATTAATAATTTGGCCAACAGCACAATTGTAAAATAATGACACAAAGACCTTGTTACAATTCCAGTAATAATCAATAAATAATTGAAATATCACTTAGGGGGCAACTCCAAGATAGGTTAAGTAAAAGAAGAGCAGATAAGAAATGAGCAGATGCAAAGTGAAGAGTAGAGTGCAGTACAGTAAAGTCAAGTACATTTATGCAGTGTCCACCAAAGTAGCATGAGTACAGTGAGAGGGGTGGGTTGGTGGTTTCTGCTATCTAACACTTCCTGATGAAATCAGTGTAAACAACAGAGTGGGATATCCACTTTGTTGGTTTGCCAAATGTGTCAGTCAGATAAAAGAAGCTGAAGGGGGATAATGAGACCAATCCAAGGACACTAATCATAACTGTATCACTTTAGTCAGGCCTGAGGCTGTGTGTGTGTGCGTGTGTGTAAATCATTACTTGAAGGCAGTGCTTTCTCGTGTGCTGCATATCATACATGCTCAAGGCTAAATGTGTCAACACTTATAATATGGAAATATATTTGTCAGTTTGTTAAACATAAAGATGTGAAAGAAAAAGATATTATGTGTGCAGATCGATTGTCGATGAATTCATCATTTGACACATAAACGATGTAAAAAATGCTGTAGTGAGTAGTAATCATATCTGTGGTAGAAGGAGAAATACATGTGTTTGTACCCCTTCATATCGATGTCCAGTGGAGAAATTCAGGTAAAACAATTTCCAGAGACAGGACCAGGCCTTTTTTTCTATCCCTCAGTGTGTATGTGTGAACTTACGGCTGTCCTTCAGGGGTATTTTCCGGGATGGCAATGGTGAAGGAAGCGTTTGTGAACTGTGGCGGCCGGGCTCCAGCCACCACAGAGACGACAGCGGGGGCGCTACGGCTGCCAAGCCGGTCAGCAGCCACCACTGTCAGCAGGTACTCCCTGTCCTGCTGCAGGGGGAGGCCGGTAGTCCGTACCTGGCCGCTCTTTTTGTCCACTTCAAACCGTCCATCACCACCTGCAGATAAAAGCAATATGTTTGCTGATTGATTGATGATTTAACCTTTTGGATTTGTTGGACAAAATATGAAAGACCAATAGAAGACAAGGTATTTAAAGAAAAGTAATACGCAGATAACGGATGGATATCAGCTGATACTGCGTCCAGCGATCTCTGATTGGCCCCACAAAATTCTGATCTGAGAACCCTTAGTAACAGGTCAAATTTTGGATAGCTGGAGATGTAATTCAATCACAGATGTTAGCAGAGTAGTGGTAAGAGCGTTTCTCACTGAAATAATGAGCAGATAAACTATAGAGATACAAGGGATTATGTCATTATGAGTTCATCTATGATCCTTTTCAGCCAGACTTCTCTGTGGTTTCATGCTGAGAAGGATTTCAGCATAAAAGGAAAGAATAGTTAGACAAATAACAGCCTCCCTAGGTCGCAGCTCAAAGTCAACCAGTGCAAAGGGCTGCAAGGCAAGAGTCTGTGTAAATGCTGCTGCCTTCAAGAGCTGTCAAAAATATTGTAAACGCATGCTGAACATGTGCCAACAAAGTGATGAATATGACTGGACAGTCAGTTTTCCAAGTTGTTGAGATGTGAAATGCAAAGAGCAGAGAGACTGGAACTGGGATGTTAAAATGTATGAGCTCGATGTAACATAACAGGGAACGATAAGGCTTTCATCCAAACTACACTGCATTTACAAAAGTCATTGTTTTTGACTCTGGGTGTGAAAGACTTCTATCACACAATGCTGCATTCACAAAACAACAAAACCAACATCAATTAAACCAACTGAAAAGTTGAGTCTAGAAATTAAGATCAACATTTATGTTTTTCATGTCATTTCTAATGGTAAATTAATTCTGTTACCTCTATGGGGAAAACTGGAAAACTTTTTTGGGCAGGGGTTTTACAGATTTTCAAAAAGGGCAGACAAAATCATTACATGGCAGACAAGAACAAAAATTATTTTGCATTAGAGACTTAAATTTCAAGGAGCAACAGAAACAGACTTGATTCTGCATCATGGAAAACATTTTTAAAAAGATACATTTGTTCCCCCTGTATTATGCACACCAATGAGGAAACACTTATCTAAAGCAACTCTGTGTAATTCAAATATTGGAAAGGGAACACCTATGGTTTGGTATATAAATCAACATACTTACTATAATTACTAAACTATATTGTGGGTGCAAGTGGGTTCTCTAAACTTAAACGCTTCATGTCAAAGAGGCTGAAATGCATTCTTACATTCAAAACCCAGTGTTGTCATTCACAGGGTTAAATATCGTTTGTCCCTTTTTACTTGTCATAGAAGAAAAAGCACAGGTGCAAGGGATTACTCTGTTCTATTCAAGCATCTGAGTATGGTATGGCAGTGTCGTGGGACATGCAGGAGAAAAGAAGAAAAACCAACCAACCATCAGACAGGAAGTACTCCACTTCGCCGTTGTTGCCTTCATCCCCGTCCTGAGCGTGGAGCTTGTAGACCAGCGAGCCTGCAGGGGCATCAGGGGAAACCACAGCAAGGTAGGGAGTAGGAACCATGCTCCATTCTGGGACATTGTCATTCACATCGGTCACAGTCAACTCCACTCTGACCAAGTACCACTCCGGACCTGAAGAGAGATACAAAGGAGAAGACGGCAGTTTACAGAGGGCATGGACATGACATTAAACTTGAGGAACACACCACAGTAATACAAGAAGAAGAAGAAGTCAAGAAGAGGGAATCTTTACGCTTACAGTAAAGCTTGAAAGAGACCCCAGCTGGATCCGTATCTCAGCATGCTAAATTATTTGTCTGTGCAAGCTTTTTTGTTTGTCATACAAATTTGAAAAGGCAATGCTGCATGTACAGTTATCATATACTAACCAATAAGTGAAATTGGGAAGGGTCGGTAGAAACAACTGATGTTCCACACTGTGCTGCTAGCCAAATTCACTACCAATAGCATCTACAGTATTTAGTAACAAAGCAAATGGAAGTTGCATGGGTTACACAAACACACAACAAATAAGGCCCATGCTGTCTTTGTTCCTCAGTCAGTACTGTTTGTTTCACCCTTGTCAGACAGAGACACACTGAATGGCTTGGTGACAGATTTAGACATGAAGTGAATGAGGCTGTGCTTGCCATGTTCATTTTCACTCTAAATGTCAAAGTCTTGATGTTGGTTTCTTCCAGACAGAAATGAGACATCGGAGATGTTGATGTTTAAGTGTTTCTTTTCTCTTTTTTCTCTTTGAAAGTTCTTTGTCTCGGTGTGGAGCACCACTCTGGTTTTCTTCATCAGCCCAAGCAGTCTTCAAGCAAAGCAAACCATGTGACATCCAGCCAGCAATAGCCTGCTGTTTTACTCCAACCGGCTGTGCTGCCTAGGGAAACAGATCATATCATTCCAGCAGCCAGTGCAAAGGTGGCAGTGCTGCCAGCTCAACAATAAATAACAAATGTAAACAAAGCAGTGCCAACAATCAAGCAGAAAGGCCGTTTTACACAGCTCTAAAAACCTACGGTTGGTCCATCCTGTCAAGGTAGGCCACAGGCGGCCAAAAGTAACTTGGGCTACTCCGAACAAAGCATTTTAGGCCTTACAGCTGAAATTATCAATAATAGGAATGAGTCAATCAACAGGATTGAAAAATACACAAATCAGTTTCGATTAATGATAAGAAGTTTTTCAACAACATTCACTGGGACCCAGCTTTATTAAACGTTCGTTGCCACAAAAGATAGTTGGGTTGAGCTAACAAGCAATTTGAGATTTCCAGTGGAGAAACCGTTCTATGGCTGCAACGATTCCTCGAGCACTCCGATTACAAAATAAAATATGGAGGATTTCCTCTGCTCTGAAGCCCGTCGTTAATTCAATTAAAGCCCGTCACGTTCAGGCAACCGGATGTCTTTAGTGTGACACAACGTGCGTACTCACAGCGATGCGTCCCTACCAGTGTTGGGATAACGGCGGAAGTAAACGGGCCGTATTCTTTCATAACGGAGTCCATCATAAAAATTACATTACTATTTCCCATGTGCAACACGTACCCTACTGAGAATGTTTTTAAAGTAAGGAGCCCAACCACGGTCCCTAAAACCAAGGCCGGAAGAGAGACGGAAGCCGGGCTTTTGGTAACGGGTGCACAGTTGTGCTGAAGCTGGCAGACCCCAGTGACCGAAAACAGTGAAATGAGCAAAACGCAGCAAAGCAAAGTAATAAGAGGAAGACCGACAAGATGTCCAAGGGTGTGGGATATTGACAATTAAGAACAACAACATTCCGTGGTGTGTGACATTAAAGGATGACTGGCGTACCATAGTCTGCGAAAGTCAGTTGTTACCTTTATTTTCAATCTGGACATTTTGACAGGTAGCCACTTGCATAATATTGAGTCATAGATAGAAAAAGGCAACTTTTCTTAAAAGGAACAAATGGCCGGATCACTGCGTTATTCACTATGAGTCCTGTCTTGTTTCTACTATCTGTATACTTTATCAATTCTGGCTGTTAATGAACGCCCAGACACACAACACACTGCTTTATCCGCACTGACCGTCGATTATCCATGGAATAGTTCAATTACGAATCACGTCGATTACCCAAGGAATACGTCCAGCGAGCGTGCAGCCACTAGGAACTGCACTGTCCACCGTGTTCGTTCTGAGACGATTAAAGGAGTTGCTTATAGTAGATTCCTGTGGACGAATTAACCGTCTTGCTTGTGCAATCAACGCCCTCAAGATTCGAACACATACTGGGGCTGTAGCTTTTAACCAAGATTTGTTTGATCCCTCCCCCTCCGAAAAAAGCGGCAAAACAAAACAACAAACAAAAACAAAAAAGAAATATGTAACAACTAAAGCATCACTTTGCCTTATTCAATTACACAGCGCTGGTCGTTAACTGGTAATCGCGCCTCCTCGTTGACTCCTTAATGTGTCAAAGTGACAACAACGAAATATGACAACAAAAAACTTAGGAGGAGCCGATCGTCTAAATCTCCAACCAAGTAAATAATAACAGGTGTATATGGGCAGTGCTGCACTATCGCACCCTAGTAAACAGCAATCAATATTGACACGACAAAACACAACTAACGTCCTACACAACTCAAATACATGCGGCACCACACACACACCACACTAAGAAGACGCCTGCCATGAGCACTGTTTTCTTTGTCGCAGCAAGGGGCGCCCAAGATAAGTTCGAGGGCTGAAAGCCAGAGGCGATCCCGGCTCCCCAGCTGGTCAGTTTGGCTACCGGTTTGAAGGTTATATAGAAAAATGGAAACCAGGAAATTGGTTCTTTTGCCAACAACTTATTGGCAGTTGGCTGCAAGTCGAGAATGAGAAATGAAGCTTCCTCAAACATGTTCTGCATTCTTGTAAAAAACAGATTAAAGTAGTAGAAATGAGAAACAACCCATTCAGAACGGGCTTACAGTAAGTGATGATAGGAGGAAGCTGGATAGCAAAGAGAGAGCAAAGAGAAAAAGATAGAGAACGAGCACAGCAGAAAAATAGAGCAATGAAAAGAGGGGGAGTGCACAGTGGGGTGGTAAAGATCAAGCATAAGGACGTACAAAGTGAAAGGCAGAGCTAGGAACTGATCACACCTGTGGTGTTATAGAAACAGTCAAAACATGAAAATTGAAATGAGATTAAACAAAGAAAAAAACAAAAGAAAACAATGAACAAGCCAATGCATACAATCAAATGCATGCGAAGACGGAGAGGCAGCAAGGACTTAGAGCAAGAAAAACATAGAGCGGATACAAGACACAACAGAAGCGAAATTAAGCCAGCCACATCTTCCAAAAAATGTATCACTGCACTTGACCTGGCATCCCATGTAGTGTGGTGTGTGTGTGTGTGTGTTGGGTGTTGTTGGTGTGGGGTCCTTGTGTGTGTCTCTCTCTCTCTCCCTCCCTGTGGTTGTAACAGAATTAATTGGCAAAAGGACAATGCAGCTTTGGCGAAGAAGGGACGGCATTACCCAGATAATAAATCACTGGGCTAATATACAGAACACTATGCCAAAATGCATCTCTCACACACACACACACACACACACACACACACCTTTGTCACTAAATGATCATCAGTGGATTAGTGGCTAATGAAGGACCATAGGGAGATACAGCTAGGTGCTATTGCCATCCCTCACATTAATGCATCTCACTGGCTCTAATGATATGTTGCAATCCCTAGAAACAGTGGGACCTGCAATTACTAATAGTGCCACAGAAGGCTTTTCCATGCCCACCGACCTCATTTTCTCCAATAGGTTGCCAGTCCAAGTACTGCAACATGTTCATTTTGTCACAGCACTATCTTGTTATCTTGTTCTCAGAGCACACAGTATGTGTAAAGTCCTGAAACCTTATGCACAAAAAAAATGGAAGTTGTTTTTACTGCTTTTTGTTCGTGTTAATGGATTTTTATTATGATCAAAACACAAAGTATGGTCAAGGTTGAATAAAAGTTGCAATTTTCTGTTGTAAAACCTTACAAACTTCTCTGTCAGGCGTGCCTTTGGAAGCCGAAGAAAAAAAATTCCATTCCATTTTTACCCTGGTCATGTGTGCTATAGCCCATCCAATACTAGATTTTTCAAGATGATACAGAAATCAATAAAGATACATTGGCCAATACTACCTCGCCCAAGCAGATCTACCTGTCAGGCTGCAATGCATGTAGATCAGAGTGGATTTTTAGGATCAGTGTTACCATAATGCATTTCTGCATTCAACGGGCTAGCAGCCACTTTATACATTGCATAGCAGTCATAGATAGAGAGATAGATACTATTACATATTGTTAACATTAGATTAATATTACTAATGTAAAAGCAAAATTTTTCTGTTGTTGGTTTTGGTGGAGAACAAAAGAAACAAAATAAAACCCACCAAACCGTCTTTTCCACTATTCCTACAATTACCATCTCTCAGTGAAAATATTCTGTCTCTACACCTCTCTGATGCCCCCGACCTCCCTCAGCCCTCTAGCCACTTCATGCCCCGCCTCTCCTGGCCTGTCCCGGGAACACCAGACTCAACACTTCAAAACAGACCTTTAAACATGAACCCGTTCATTTGATGTGTCTAACTGGACTTCTATTGTGACGTGTCACTTCCTGTCACCTCATTTGGTCACTTCCTGTAACCGTAACCTGATGCAGCTTGATGACACGCGATGTCCAGGTGACAAAACTTCTGGCACGGCGTTACTCGCCGTCTTCTGCTCGTCTCAATTTCTCCTCTTCTCTCTCTCCTCGCTCACCTCGCTCGCCCACACTGGGTGATAAGTTTTGGACCTCGGTGCGGCCTGACCCGCCAACGACACACGACAAAGGATTATAGCACGGCACAAAAGCCTGCTTTTTCCTGCGATCCCTGGTCAGCACACCGCTAACGAGAGGCAGCATCTGCAGCTTTAAAGAGTCTGCCAGCTGACTTTACCGGAGCAACGCGACGTTAACGCCGAGTCGTTAACTCTGCAGAGCAACGAGTGAAACGCCTTTCCTGTGGTTCATACTAAGCTGAAACATCTGGCCAGAGGACAAAGGATACACCTTTTCTGGCGCGTTATTTTTTCCCTTATTTAAGGGTGGTGCCC